TGTAAACCTTAAGTCAGATCATGTCTCCTCTCTCCTCAAAACCTTTTGGTGGCTTCCCTTCTCACTCAGGGTAAAACCCTAAGTCCCTGCAGTGGCCTAAGAGGCCATACATGATCTGCTACCTGGGCCCTTCTCTAAATTCACGTCTTACCCTTTCTTTAGACTATTTCAACCACCTGCTTGCTGTTGCTGTCATTAAAAAACCAGGCATGCTCCTAACTCAGGCTTTTGCACTTGTTTTTACCCTCTCCACGTACTTCCTCCATTATCCGCATGGCTTACTCCCTTTTCTGCTTCAAATCTTTGCTCAAATGCCACCTTTTCTAAACATCTTTGCAAACTATCCACTCCACCCTTCATTTTTAGCCATAGCACTTACCACCGTCCGATATATTTTATTTTATTTATTCGTCTGTCTCTCCATATTCCGATATATTTTATTTTATTTATTCGTCTGTCTCTCCATATTCAAGTCCCCATATATAATTTCAATGGGGGCAGAAAATTTAATCTATTTTATTCTTTGTTCATTTCCAATACCCAATACCTGACTTGCACATAGTATTTCTTGAATGCATGAATATTAGAGACTGATGTTTTAGCTACAATTGTGACACTGTAGTAGTCCTCCCAAGAGATATGACCCCACAATTAGCTTTCTTTTTAAGAAATCTCCTAACTTAGGGAATGCTCACTGAGAACAGTTTCCTTTGAGAGGAGATTCTAACTTACCATATAAAGTGGTAAGGAGTTCACATGCATAGGAAGAAATAGTAATTTTGTCATTTATGGTATAATCTCCTTTTCAGATGTTAAATTGGGTCATTTCTTCATTTAATGTAACTTTGCCTTGAGTAAGGTGTATCAGCATTCAGCTATCCACTAGCTATATAAGCAATCCCTTAGCTGCCTCAACTTTAATTGTTGATGTGTTCAGAAAATTACCAGTACTATGTTTTAAGTAAACATTATTTTATAGACATTTATGACTAAAAGTATCATTATAGAGCATCCAAGTATCCCACATTTGAAGAGCGTAGCCTAAAAGGCAGCACAGATAGGCCCTAGTACCTATTCTCATCACTTATTAGGCTCTATGATCTTGACTAAATCACCTACCCTTTCAGGACTAAGAAGTTCTGTAAAATGGGGAAGAGTACCAATGACTTAAAAATCCCTTCTAAGATCTGATATTCTGACTTGGGATTCCAAAACCTCTGGTCTACGCGAAGTACATAAAGGATATCTAATGACAAAACAGGAAGGTTGTACATATAAGCCCAACACAGAGCATGTTTTCAACTGAATAATATTTTGCAGGGAGTTGTGGGCTGCAAGCGTGACTATACTTTAGTTCAGCTATACAAAGACATAGAAACATGTCATGATCATAGACTAAGAATGAAGGGAACTTAAAATTTAGTCATCTTATCCAATCCCTCCTATCCTATTTCCTCCTACAAGTGGAGGCTAGATGGCTTTCAAACATATCTGATGTAAGCCTTAGTAATAAATAAAGGTCAAGAGAAAAATACATTTATACAAGCAGCCAGCTCTGTTGAATAAGATTTTATACCATTAATGATGGTAATTCTAAAAGAGTAAAGACTTAAACTCATAGCAGAAAAAATAAATTTTGGAAGTCTTACCTCAAGATTTACCATAACAAAATTATGGGAAAGCTCTGAAATTTCTGTAGATTCTGCAAATTTGGGCTTTAAAGCTAGGGGTAAAAAGATTTTGGAAGAAAACATGTTATATCCAAACCCTAACTTGCTGAGTTGATTCACAGAACACCCCTCCTTCTTTTAATTCCCCCCCACTTCCTCCCCTGACTAACCGGGCTTGGTGAACCCAGGGGGCCTGGTGCACCCGGGATATGGGCCATGGCTCTACTGGAGCTCGAACCCAGGACCTTCTGTGTATTGTATAAAGCAGATGTGCTAACCATTACTCTATGGAACCACCCCCTCTCTTTCTTTTTAATCTTTAGAACCAGAAATCAGGACACCTGAATTCTGATCCAACTTCTGACACTTACTTGCAAAGCTACGTGACTCTTAGTAACTGATTTCATTTTTCTGAAGCTTTTACCTCATTTATAAAATATGGATAATGGTATACGAAAGAAAAAATTATTACTATTTGCTTTCTACACATTTCAATAATTTCTACTGAAGTAATAGACAGTAGGGTAACAATACTCTACCACTAATGTGTATATATATTATTACACTAATTATTTACACTAAGTTCATAGTCAAAGTAGTGTAGTATACCAAACAAAAGAAAAAAATCTGTGAAGTGGCAGCGTGGTATAGCAGGAAGAATATATGCTACGAAGTAAGATAACCTCGGGCTCTAATTCAGCTTCCTCTAACATTTTCTATCCACGTGACTATTGTAGCACTTAATCCCATATTTTAACTGCTTCACCCTCCAATCCCTTGCAAATGTAACTGCAAATTTCTTGGAGCCAGAGAATCTATGCAATATATTTCTTTGGTATTCCTTAAAGCAATCAGCAGTGCTGGGCTAAAGTCACTGCTCATATTTTTTTACGTTAATATTTGAGAACACATCTGAGGTTTTATCATTTGCACTTACCTTTGCAAGCTCCACACCAGGACTTGTGGATAATCACCATCAGGGGCAATCCACTTAAAAACAAAACAAAGCAATTACAAACTAATAATTCCACTTGAAATCTATCCCAATGAAATGACAAACTTATGAAGACAAAGATTAATGTACAAAGACAGTCATGTAGTATGATTTCAACTGGGAAAATTTTAAGACAACCTATTCAATAACAGTAGATTATTATAATAAAATTATTAGTAAGTTCTGACATTCCGGTAAACTGCAAATTTGGGCTTTAAAGCTGGGAAGAAATTGTAGAAGAAAACATCAAATTAATAGTATTTCTAAATGTTATGGTTATATAACCATTAAAAATATTAATAAAAAATTTCATTGGTATAATGTTAAGAACATAAAATTATTATCTATATTTTGCTTTTAATTATGGAATTATGTACAGAGAAGAGACCAAAGGAAATGTACCAAAACATAATAGCAGTTATCTCTGGATAATGGGATTGTGGATTTTTCTATATTTTTTCTGTATGTCCAAGTTTTCTACGATTATATGTAATTCTTATAATCAGAGAGGAAAAAGCAACTTCTTTTTTAAAATAATGAGCAACACAATCCACCTGAACCAGTCTTAGCCACATGCAGCTCTCAAGGCTCAAATGCCAACGTGTAGGAAGGTCCTAGGTAAGCAGCCATCATCCCACCCCTGTATCAACATATCAACATACCCTTATAACACTGCATACTACACTGAACTGTATCCATTATTTACTCATCTCACCCCACTGGACTTGGAGCTTCCTAAAGGAAGGAACTCTTAGCTGTGTTTATATCCTCTACAACTGGCACATAAAATAATATTGATAGCAAACACTTACATAGCAATTACTATGTACCAGCCACTATTCTAAATATAATTAATTTAATAAGTGTCAAATGAATTACTCCGCTATCTCATCACAGGCCTACAAATTGGGGATGGATTTCTGCCTCTAATATTTGTAAAAGCTTACAAACCAAATAAGCAAGGCAAGCTTAGGTGAGAAGTGGGATTTAGGTAACTACGATAATAGCATAAGAGCTAAACACTTATTATACAACATTGTGCTATGTGCTTTCATATGCATTATCTCATTTAAATCCTCACAACAATCCTAAGGTAGATATTACTAATGGTCTCATAAAAGAAATGAGAAAACTGAAACTCTCAAGTGGTAAAATATTTGGCCACATAAAATCTAGGTTCTGCCACTTAATTCATAAGTCTGACTCCAAATATTCTATTATGGTCTACTTCAATTTAGAACGGCAATCCAGAATTTATGGGTTTATACCCAACTAAATCAACAATCAACTTAAAATTAGAGAATGAAGGCTGGAAAAAGATTTAAGAGATTTCCTAATCCAAACCTCCATTTCGCACAGGAATCCTCTCACATATCAGAAAAAAAGTGGTCTAGATTGCCTGATGAGCAAGAAATACATCAACAACCAAGGCAGCCCATCCTTTTAACAGCTCCTTGAACTTACAAAGCAGTTTAGAATGTCTTGCTTCCTCTTTTCTCCAAGCAAACTTCTATTCTGCCTTCTAGGGCAGAGGTCAGCAAATTACAAGACAGACCAAATCCAGCCCACTGCCTACTTCTGTAGGGCTGTGAAATACAATTTTTTTTACATTTTTAAATGGTTGAAAACAAATCTAAAGACTGGTGCCTTGTGATTGTTAAAGTGAAATATTAACTCACATTTCAGTGTACATAGTTTTAATAAAACATATTCGCCCTCGTTTTTATAGTCACTGTCTATGGCTGCTTTTGTGCTAAAAATGGCAAAGCTGATAAGCTGCAAGAGACCCTATAGTCAACAAAGCCTAAAATATTTACTACATGGCCTTTTGCTGACCCTTGTTCTAGAGTGACTTACATATTAAGCCCTCTGTGAAGCCTACACAAAACCACCTTCTCTCAAAAGCTAGTCCTTTCCTCCTCTGGACTCCCAAAGCATTCTGTGATCTTCCTCTGATCATCAGATCCTTACACCTTGTAATCATGTTTACTTGTCTGTATTTTTCACCAAACTATTAACTTCTCAAGGTCAAAGACTATACCTAATTCATCTTTGAAAACCATGAGCACTGGTAAGGTAAGTACCTACCATTTGTTTAATGAAATCAATGAAAGACAAGCTTAAAATGACATTTGCCTTGAAATACAAAATGAAGCATATTGTAGAAGTTATAATCACTCTAGGTTAGACCAAAACATCTAGTCTCCCACTAAGCACTACTGAAGTACCATTTCAGTCAAAGGCAAAATAGTAATACATATGATATCTAAAATGTTACATTAATTACATAAAGAACGCTAAGTTACATTAAGTAAAAGAAATTCCAGCCAACTCTCTTCTTCTTCTAAAAGATTTTATTAGATTATATGATCTAGTGGTTATGTCTTCCACTTCCACTAGAATCAAAGCTTCCTAAGGACAGAAACCAGTGGATTTTTCTGTGATCCCAGGCCCCAGGATAGAGAATAGCAAAAAATTTAGCTCCAATATTCAAAACAAACTATTTGTGGTATGAAAGAAGGGCCAATGCAAATGCAGAAGTGTGCCATCTTCAGTTTCTGTTCACAATTGTTTTAAAACAATTCATCCATCCAGTCTGGTCTCCAACAATTCAGATGTGGGAAATCAATGGTGTGTGATATTCCAAGTAGAACCCAATCTAAGCAAGCGCTGTCCACCTGACCTCTGTCTTCTGGAGAAATCTGCCAAGATCCTACAGCTAGTTTATTCTCTCTAGTCTCAATTTATGCTGTAAACTCATGGCCTGGCACAGGAGCATTCAGGAAAGTGTAAGTAAATCAGTCACAATAGCTCTAGTATCACACATCATTATATTCTGCAGACATTCAAGATTATTATTCCCAGAGAAATACAGTCCAAGGGAGGTTAGATAAGGAACCATGACTTTCCTCCTTACTCTCAAGTTAGTGTAGACTCTGGCTCAGATACTGCAGAAACATGTTGGCCAGCTGAGGCAGGTTCTCATTGTTGGGATGCATTTTGGTGTAGGAAATAAACTGGCGTCGGAGGCGACTCAGTTCGGCCATGGTCAATGCCCGGGTAAACCGAAGGTGCTCCGTGGTGCCGGGAAGCTTAAGCAAGTCTCCAGGGACTGCACTCTTCTGCGCTTCCATTAGTCCCGCCAATACCTGGCTAGTGACCTGATCCAACTGGTGCAGAAAGCTACCGGAGGCAAGGGGCTGGGACTGTGTAGACTGGTGGGGTGGAGGAGCCCGGTTCTCAAATAGGGCAGCACGGATCTCTGCCAGAGGCAATGGCTCCTCTAAGCCTACCAAGGTGAAGAGCGGCCGGTCCCAGCGGTTCCGAGAGTCAGGAGCCTCGAACCGGAGCGTTAGGGCCTCCAGAAGTTCGGTCGGGTAAAAGGCACTGGACACATGTTTTGCAGATTTCTCGAATTCCGGAGGCACGAGAGCTCGAAGATCTGGAGCCCTGGTTTCCTCCTCCTGCTCCAGTTCCTTAGGTACGTCTGCCCCGGCGCTCCCATTTAATACAGAGTCCACTGTTTGCGCTTCCCTGAGGACACGGGTGCCGGCTGCCAGAGGTCTCCCTTCTTCCTCAATGAGCGGCTGCCGACTCACACTGACGTTCCGGCTCCAGTTATCCTCCGCGTCCGCCACCCGAGGTCCCCGGCTCAGACCGCCTGGCCGTACGCAGTAGACCAGGCAGAGAGGGGTGCGTGCCGCCCGCGCCAGGCAGTAGAGCTCGTAGCGGAAGCCCTTTATGTAGTTAAGTGAGTCGAGGATAACCACATCGTGACGACTCAGGCGCCGCTCCACCGCGGCTCGCAAGGCCCCACGCAACGCCTTCTCACGGGCGGAATCGCCGTACACTGTCGCGTCCTCCGCGCCCAGCACAGCCGCGTCATTTACCACATACACGGCGCGACCCTCAGCCGCCAACACCCCACGAAGCTCTTCCGCGCGTTGACTCTTGCCGCTGTACGGCAACCCACAAAACACCACGAGAGGCATCTTTCCAGGGCGCTGCCATGTGCAATCGCGAGCATCAACTTCCGGGTTGTCGGCGTCTGACGCAAAGCGGAAAGCAAACGGCACTTCCGGTTTCCCTCGACTCTTAAAGGACCTCTTGTTGCTATGGAAACAAGAGTTCTATGCCAACTAGACCCAGGTCCTGCTCTCTCAAAAAGGAGATGGAGACCAGAATGACATCAGTTATTTATGTCAAATGTTACAGGCCTCAGGAGAATGTGATCTCTCTGCAGCCAAAGACTTTTGCCCATTTATTTATAATGAGGTCTTAATAAGCATTAAATATCGCAAAAACAATCACCACTATATTTAGTATATAGAAGACAATTCGCAAATGCTAGTTCCCCTTCATTCCGCACACCCAGTGACTCTCAGTATCTGTTGATTCAATAACTATCTCAATCATTCAAAATCTCCATGTTTGGGGATTCAGAGATGACAATAAAAATGTTCTCCCAAAGGCGATCAAGGTCTGAATGGGAAGAGATAGGCCCTTACAAGCAGAATAACATACTACAATGGAGAGATGTAGGTTAAGTACAGAGGAGAAAAACAAACTGCTCAGAAAAATCTCCCAGGAGATTTTATCTAGGAATAGTCGTTTGATTTAGAGCTTGAAAAACTAATAGAAATTTTTCTTCAGGGTAAGGTTACCAGATAATACACAAGATGCCTAGTTAAATTTGAATTTCAGATAAACAACAAAAAATGTTGGGTTTTTTAAATATAAGTATGTCTCAAATATTGCATGGGGCATATTTAAAATTGTTTACCTGAAATTCAAATCTAACTGGGCATCCATTATTTTTATTTGCTAGATCTGGCAACCCTACTCCTGCAGGTGTGAGACTCAGCCATGAAGCTGCAGGGTCTGTTCTAGCATAAGCAAGCAATATAGCTTGGTAGGTGTAGAAGTGTGAGTTTCTGTGCAAGTGTGTGCATGTATAAAGTAGGTGCATATATATTGGGTCTTTGTATCTCTCCAGTACAGTATAGTAGAGAACATTCAAGTCTCGGCTCTGCCACTTCCAAGCTGTGTAAACTATTGTCAAGTTATTTAACCATTCTGTATGTCAATTTCTTCTCCTGTAAAAAAATAATTTCAGCCTGTGAAATAAGTTATTTCTTCACAGGCTGAACCAACCTCGTAGGCTGTCAGGATTAAATACATTAATGCATATAAAGCACTGAGCTTAATGTTTAGCCTTCTCTCCCCTGGTCTGCCTTTTCCTCCTCCTTTGTATGAGTTGTCTGTGCATAGACTAAATCTACTTTGAATCTGAGAGTATTAACTTGAGACTGTTAGGGTGTAAGGTTTACTAGTTGAGTACAGGTTCTGAAGCCAGAATGCCTACATCTGAATCTTGGCTTCACAACTTACTGGCTGTGTGATCTTGAACAACTTACTTAACAGCTCTGTGCCTTAGTTTTCTCATGTCTAAAATGAAGATAACGATGATACCCACATCAAAGGAGTTATTGTGAAAATTAAATAAGTTAATTCACTGTCTTGTGCATAGTAAGCACTTAATATATGTTAGATAGTATTACTGTTGTTGTTACCAGGCAACTACCCAGTTCTTGCTCTGCATTGGCATAACCTTCACTTGAAATTAATGCTAAGTTGACGTCTGGAAAGTGTTTTACCACCATAAATAACCTAAAACCATATCTTGTACCTGGCGGCTGCTTCTCTCTTTCCATCTTCTAGTGTCCTCCAATGAATGTGATCTCCAAAACCTGGAAGGAAAGAGCCTTATAAACATTCATATGGGAACAAAGGGCAAAGACCCAAGAAAGAAGTGTGGCATGTTCGACGATATAAAAGGCTTTCCTCTGCCAAAAGCGTGGTGTTCAAGTCCCAGCTCTATCACTTTCTGGGTGTGTGGGACCATGGACAGTCCCATACCTCAAGCCTCACTTTTCAGACCTGTAAAATGGAGATAATATTGCCTATTCATAGTTTTTAATGAGATTCAATTAAATACTAGGTGTAAAATGATTTGTAAATTAACAGAGTATGCAAATAATTCTGTAAGAATAAATGAGTAAACATTAAGCAGGGCAAAACAAATCATTACTAGTCGGAGACAATACAGCAATACAGCTTTAGAGTCAGAAAAACATGGATGTGTGACTCCACTTCCTATTAAATTCACACAAAATGTGGAAATTTTATGAATGAAGTAAGCTCTCCAAGTCCCAATTTCTTCATCTATAAATCAAGATAATAACAACTATCTTTCCCACATTTAAGCCAGTGACATTTTAAAAGCACATCTCTGCTGGTAAACTTTCAGAGGCTTACCAATGCCCTAAAGAGAAAGGTCAAATTCTCGTAGCATGACTTACAAAGTCTTTCAGAACATGGCATCTGCCCACCTCTCCAGGCTCACTTTCTGCACTTTTCCTAAAATCCTACACACAAAGTTACTTTCCTTTTCTTAAATGCAGCATGCACTTTCTCCCCTACAGCCTTCATAGTCACTGCTTCCTCTGCCTTTCCTTCCACCCTCACCTCCAATTCATTCTTCAAGTAAAAACCTAGAGGGCGTTTCTTCTGGTAAAAACTCCCTGAATCCCAAAGCACCCTATTCTTGCCTCACAACAGCACTTCTCAGGCTGTATTGTAAATGTTGATGTGTCTGTCTCCCACACTCTAAAGGGAATTCCCTAAGGGCTGGGACCATACCTGTCTTATTCCCTCCTGTTTCCCTAGCATTTAGCACATGGCCATAGTAAGTGCTTCATAAAATGTTTATTGAGAGTAAATGAAACTTATTTAGGCCATATCATATGAATGACTTAATTTTATATCTGGAAAATATTAGTGATCATAATAATGCTAGCTATTATTTATTGATCACTTTATATGTGCCTGGCACACCATGTGTTATCATTTAAATTTGGCAATAGTTTATAATAATCTTTTATTTAACCTTTCTATACTTCCATTTTCTTCTTAAAATATGTATAATAATAGCTATGTCTCATAAGGTTGTTCCTGAATATTAAATATTTATATATAACTTGTTACAGTGCTTAGCATATTATAAATGATCAGTAAATAGCAGCTTTTGTTATTCTTTACAGTTGAGACTTCTGAGGCTCATAGAAGTTACATAACCTATACCAGGTCACATAGCCGGTAAATTGCCAAGCTGGGATTTAAACTTCAATTTTGTGACTTTTCAGTTATTACACTGTCTTCCAGGCTTTTCTTTCCTGGAAATAAATTCAAATCAGTGCAGAGCAAGAACTGAGAAATAAACAGCTCATTCAGATTAGCACATGGAGGCAGAATCCAAATTAACCATCATCCCTTTTAATTCCTAATAGCCTGGACTGCTGGCCAAGAGAAAATGTATCACTTACCTAGGGCCCAAAGTCTAATTCTAAAGAATGTATGATTAAGTGAGGGTGAAATTGGGGGGATGCTCAGGAGAATTGGAAAGTGCCTAATGTGATCATCATCATTCTACCTGTCAATACTTAAACTCAGGCAACTGACTTCTCCTTTGGCAGGATGCCCAATTAGACAGTCTAGAGGGATATCCACCTAGAAAACAATAAAATCCTAAATAAAGCAGACTTTCAAAATGTACTTCCTGGGCTCACAGTAATAACACAAAAACAAAGTAAGCTAAAACCAGATGAGGTAGACAGGGGAAAAAAAATTAAAATAATTTCTTCAATTAAAAATAACTAAATAAAATAAAATAAAATAAAATAAAATAAAATAAAACCAGATGATAATCAGTGACCAACAAGTAAAAGGTAAGGCTGACCTGAAAAGCAAATGTCCATTATGATGTGGCAAAATGAAGGAGATAAACCTGAGATAAAATGGACTTTCAAAATGTTAACCCATTGTCAAAAGAGACTAAGTGATTCCACTGTCGAAAGAGACTTGAGCAATTCCAGATCAATAGTAACCCCTGGTTTCCAGAAAAATCAAATGCCAAATCTTTGTAGAGAAAAGCATTCGCCACTTTAGGCTTCCAGGATAGCCAACGATCAACAACCATTACGAGCTCACAATCATAGATACCTAAACATGTAAAAGAACAAGTTACTACAAGTAATACTCAGCAGAAGCAACAAATAGATTTAGACCCGAGATCTTCAAAGATTAGAATTATCAGCCACAAAATACAAAAATAACTACGTATGAACATTTAAAGAAATAACACATGGGATCACAAAAATGGGCAAGCAACAACACATAAACAGGCAAATCTATAAAAGCACAAAACAAATTTTAGAAATTAAAAACATAGTTGTTGACATATAAGATCAATGGATATTTATGGATAAAAAGAAATGAGTTATTCAGCCACAAAAGACGAGAAAACTTAAATGCATATTGCTAAGTGAAAGATGCCAATATGAAAAGGCTACATAATGCATAATTTCAACTATGACACATTCTGGACAAGGCAAAACTATGGAAATAGTAAAAGGATCAATGGTTGCCAGAGGTTCATGGGGAGGGAGAGGTGAATAGGTAGGGCAAAGAACTATTCTATGTGATTCCATAACGGCCAATATATATTGTTTGTTATGGGCTAAATTGTGTTTCCCCCATCAAATTCAGTACGTTGAAGTCCCAACCTGCTGCACCTCAGAATGTGACTGTATTTGGAGACAGGGTCTTTAAAGGGGTAATTAAGTTCAAATGAGGTCATTAGGGTGGGACTTAATCCAGTATGTTTTAGAAAAACAGATTAGAACACACACATATAGAGGGAAGACCATGTGAAGATATAGAAAGAAGATACCCATCTACAAGAAAGAAACCAACTCTGCCAAACACTTGATCTTGCTTGAACATCTAGCCTCCAAAATTGTGAGAAAATAAATTTGTTGTTTAACCAAGTTTGTGGCATTTGTTATGGCAGCCCTAGCAAACTAATACATATGTTATCATACATTTATCAAAACCCATAGAATGAATGTACAGCACAAAGAGTGAACCCTAATGTAAACCACGGACTTTAGTTAAAAATAATGTATCAACACTACTTCATCAATTGTAACAAATGTACCACACTGATGCAAGATGTTAATAGAGGAAACTGGAGTGGAGGGGAGGTGGAGAGGTGAGGGCTTACATGGGAACTTCATATTTTCCAATCAATTTTTCTATAGACCTTAAACTGCTTGGAAAAAAAACCTATTAATTAAAAAATAATTCAGTGGATAGGTTAAAACAAGAAATTAGAGACAGGTGTAGAGATAGATCAGAAGTTATCCAGAATGCAGCACAGAGAGATAAGTAGATAGAAAATATGAAGAGGCCAAGAGATATAGGATAGATAAGAAAGACCAGTATATATAAAATTGGTGTCTCAGAATGAAAAGATGAAGGAAAACAATATGTTTGAAGAGATTATATTACTGGGGTGGGATACTAGATGACTGGGGAACAACAGTGGGAGGAAAAACCTATCTTTTAATGGATTTATTTAATATATTACCTACTTAAAAATAAATTTGAATTTTTTAAAAAGAAAAAAAGATAATGGCTAAGAATTTTCAAGAACTGAGATAAACCATAAATCTGCAGATATAAGCAGTACGATATGTAATACCTGGGGCAATTACAAAAACAAAATACACACACACTTAAATTGTAGTGAAACTGTACAACAACAAAAATATTAAGATCTTAAAAGTTATTTCAAAGAGAAATGATATATTTCCTACAAAAGGTCAATATATTTATAGGAACGAACTAGAAATCAGAAGACAGAGGAATATCATCTTCAAAATGCTGAAAAAAAAATCTCTAAACTGAGACTTATGTGCCTAGCAAAACTATCTTTTAAGAATAAGGACAAAATAGCTTCTGTTCAGCAAAAGAAATCATCAACAAGGTAAAGAGACAACCATCTGAATGGGAAAATATATTTGCAAGCAACACCTCTGATAAGGGCCTAATATCCAAAATATGAAAAGAACTCATATGACTCAATAACAACAACAACAACAACAACAACAACAAAATTATCCAATCAAAAAATGGGCAGAGAAGCTAAACAGACACTTCTCCCTAGAGGAGATGCAAATGGCCAACAAATATATGAAACCAGAGAGA